TTTTAATAAGTTCCAAATGTGATATTTTCTCTTTGATCTACATAGTCTCTTTGGGCATTATTTACTTTGAGGAATGAGACTGGATAATGAAAAGTGAAAACGGTCACTCCTTGTACAATGTTTTTGTTTTGCTGGATTAGGATGAGATTGATCTCACTTGGCGCACATGTGGACTGTGGACCTACACTGCTTATCAATATTGACTGATTAAATAGACATGCTCCGTGTAACGCAAAATTCGTATTATTGAATTATTAATAATCACGAGAACTTCGTACAAATGGATTTTAACGAATCAAATAAAATATAGTGAATTACAAATCTCTATTATTCTTTTGATTATTTTCCGAATAAATTATCTTGATTATTTTCCCTAATCCCATCGACCAGTCACCAGAGTAAACAAGGTCTTGGTGTCTTTGATTATATGCTGGATCGACATTTTTATTTAATCTAAATTTAAATAAAATAAAAAGTCTGATTTATAGGACCAAAATTTAGGTCACATTTCTGCATCACAGCCAATTGTTGATCTACACTACTTTGAGAATCACAGTATTTTATATAGTTTTATTTGACTAACCCATTTGCATTGACCTTTTCTGATTTCAATTTTTTGAAATTTACACAAAGGCCACTAAAAATGTCAAAATGCAAAAATATAAAATAAACACAAAATATTTCATATTTATTTATAGTTAAATGCATCTGGCAGTCAATAGAGACAGTAAAGCAGAGAAAAAAAAAAATAAGAAATTCAATGAATCCATGATCACAAAAGTCCAATTTATATGAATTGTCTGTATAATATAATACTCTACCTAAATAATATTCTGGGGCCTTTTGCAAATTGGATAGATTGTTGGGCCACTTTAGCAAAAATGGTAAACTTAAGGGTTGGATTTGCAAATACTACTTGAACAAAAATGAATGGGCAGAACATTTCATGGATAGTTGAAATGGTGAAACTGAGTATGGCCATTGTCCCCTCACAATGGCACAAGTCATAAAACCAAATTAATTTAAAAGTGGGTAATACAGTTATAATGTGGCCAAAAACATTTATTGCACATAGAACCTGATATATATTAAATATTACAACAAAAGCCCTTCATGTCAAAGTTGTGGCCACCTTTGTTTGTGAGAAAATTACATGAAATGAGTTGTTTGTGGACTCAATTGGATTAAGTTCATCATAGCTGAAAAAATATGAAATTTTGTGTAACTTTTTTATAATTCTGCTTGTTAAAAGTGAGAGTTCAACTCGTTAAATACTCATTAATGTCGATAAACGAATTAAACTCGATCGAGCTCGTTTATCGACTCTTTTGGTTATAAGCTTGGCTCCGATAAAAGCTCGACCCCGAACCTCGGCTTGGTTCATCTGCATCCCTTCCTAAAGCTATTGAACAAATCAAGTCGACCCAAACTCGACTCGACTCGAGAAATAAGATTTCCTTTGAAATTCTGTAAACTACTATTTTAGTTCGACTTGCAAAATTTTGATAACTGAACCACACTCAAAATTTCTTTTATCGACTTGATTGGTTAACGAGTTAATAACTCAACTGATCGAATCGTGTGTCAATAGCTTCAGCTCGATTCGACTCGTTTACAGTTTCACGCATTTTACCCAAATAAGTAAAACTTAGCCTAATAGACCAAATAATTTTGCTTCGATGAGTCCAAAAGTGAAAAATAAAAGGTTGGAGAACGTGCCATGTACCGGTAAATTTGTGGGGACAACATCACAAAATCTTTAATTAAAGATCATAATACCAAAAGAGCTTCGATTTTCGAATATTTCATTTGCAATTTTTTTTGCTTAAATATTGAATCAAAAAGAAAACGACCCATCGAGGGGCAGTGTGGGCCCCCTCTGCAAAATCTTGTAGCCATGCATGGAAAAATATTTTGTTGTGCAGAGTCAAAAGGTGAAAAAAATAAATAAAAAAAAAAATAAAAACTAGTGGACTATAGCATGAGATGAGCTATTGCATGTGATGTAAACTTCAAACTAAAATTGATTGTTTTTTTTTTTTTTTTTTTTTTT